CTACATACCTCTTCGTCCTAACCTACTGTGCGTTTACATAAATTTTGCAGGACCTTTTTGCAAGTATCGTCACTGGGGTAATGTATCTCATCGGATCAAAGAAAGACGAAACGTGTGAAAATATGTTCCACCTAGTGAACTGTTTGGTCATGGACCGCACATAAAGGTGAAATTCGTCGTTTTCAGGGTCCTAACCCACCTCGAGTGCTAGGTGCATTGCTGGATCCCGACGACCCAGATCTATAGGGGTGGTGGCCTGTTCCGACTCGGGTATGAACGTCATTAAAGGGAGACTGTTGCTCTTTCATTTGTGCAGCTTGAAGCCCCCTTTGCATAACATTGACCTTAGCTGCTGTGAAAACCCGAGTGCCTCGTTCTCATCTCGCACACTGACCAAACAATCATCTACATAGAAGCGTCTTTGCGTCTCCTCGAGGACATCTTTATCGTAGCTTTCCGCACTGTCAATGATGGCTCTGTTAAGCGCGAAGGTTGCACAACTGGGAGAGGATGTAGCTCCATCAGAGAAATCTTAAAACGTCACGGTCTTTCTCAGGTACCCGAATTTGATGGAACATTGATTCAATATCGGCCATGATGGCGACTTTCTCCTGTCTGACTCTCAAAAGTACCCCGATTAGCGAATTGGTCATATCAGGTCCGGAGAGTAGTTGATTGTTTAGGGAGGTTCCATAGAATTTAGCTGCACAGTCGAAGACCACGCATATCTTATTTGGCTTGGCTGGGTGGAAAACGGGATGATAGGGAAGGTGCCAAGAAGAGGCTGCATCCTTGACCGGAACCTCTTCGGCATATCCAGTCGTTCATAGTTTTTGCGTACATTTGTAACAGGTCTTCTGATTTTATGAGCTGTTTACCGAGCAGTCGGGCGCGCTGTAAGAGGCATAGGTTGTTATTCGGAAGGACTGATGGGTGAGTTCTGCGAGGTAGGGCTAACATATAATGACCATCGCGAAAACAAAGGGTTTGGTCCATAGTCTTCAACGCGATACGATCGTTTACAGACAGATCTTTGTCTTTGGTTGGTCCCTCGTCAATGGAGTCTTGTTGATAGAACAGCTCCAGATCCTTCTGGAACTCAACGAAGTTCGAGCAGTATACCCGTTTCTTCTCTCTGGGAGTCAGATGTACAGGTCCCATCATTATCCAGCCCAAGGCCGTTCGAATGGCGTATGGTTCGTCTGCTTTACCTAAGCATTGATCCTGTACACAGAGTGCTTCCGGTACATCGCATCCTAGCAACAGCCCGATCTACATGTCTTCGCGTGATTCGAATTCTATCGTACTCAAGTGAGGCCAGAATGAGGCTTACTTATAATTTGGCATGATTCGATTCACTTGTGGTAGAGATTTGACAGAATAAGCTCGTTTGACTTGAATAGGCGTTTTTGTGCCTTTAGCTTCTACGTCAAACTCTACTTCCATGGTCTGGAATACAGTTTCCTTATTCAACATTGATATGACGATATGCTTGCCTTTGCCCTTCATTCCAAGAGCAGACACGAGACTCTCATGCATGAGCGTTGAGTCGGAGCCGTTGCCTAAAAGTCCCAAAGTCGTTGTCGTGTGTCGTTCGTACCGGATGGTCACTGGAACAACTGCGAGGGCTACCCTTGGAACCTCTTATTCGTGTCCGACTACGTGATGACTGAAAACATTCGACGGGCTATTTAGCTCTTCATTATCGGGATGTAGTAGAGTATGATGTTCTTTTCCGCAGCCCTCGACTGTACATCCGCGAGGTGACCTGCAGTTCTTGGCGATATGATTCTCTTTCAGGCAACGGCGGCACAGTTTGCGCTCTTATACAATCCTTCTTCTTTCCGTCTTGTCAGAGCCCATAAATGTTGGACATTTATTGGGACAGTGATCTTATCCGCAGACCATGCAACAGAACGGTAAAGGGGCCCCATTACGCTTTATTTCCGTGCTGTTTGAAACAAGCACATTCCTTGGAAGATTGTTTGACAATCTGTGTGTTCTACTGGGCAGCTGACCTTCATGATCTATCAAACTAACCGCTAATTCTCCGAACCGAGTACAGGCGACATCAACGCGTTCTTCTATGAAGTTCGCGAGATGTTCGAATTGCGGTTCTTCGTCCTGACGTATTGCATTTGCAGCGGTTTCAGCGCATTTGAATCTTAATTGGGAGGGTAGACGTCTCACAATCGACTCCAGAGTTCTGTTGGAATTGAGATCGGATGCATAGTTGAGTTGATTCAAGGTTACCACGCAAGCTGGCATTTGTTGGCTGCGGTGAACCAACGCTGCGGTGTCGTTGCTTTTTATTTGAGGTCCATCGATTAATGCATCAATAAAGGCTCCGGCTACCATATAATTCTGGCCGAATCTTTTTCTCAGAATTTCTTTGGCCTTTTTAAAACCTTCGTTGGCGTCTAATATCACACAATGTTGTATAGTCTTCCTCGCTTTTCCCTCACAGTACTGTATTAGGTAAGTGAAGCGTGTGATGCTGCCATTAGTTTTTCTTTCAAATGCAGAATGGAACTCGTTCACAAAAGCACAATAAAATTTAGGGTTTCCGTCGAACTTCTGAATTTCACGTTTTGGCAGCTCTAGATGATACGCTGTGGTGCGAAATGGAGGTTGGACATTATCATTCGAACTACCATCTCTCTGTTTAGCGGTCGCACAAACCTCATCTTTATTCAATTTTCGACTTTCCATTTTCATAAGCTGTAACTTTTCCAACTCAATGCGTGTTTCGATTTCTAGAAGACACATTTTTCTGAGCTCTATTTCAAGTCGCCGTCGTTCTAAATCTCTTTGATCTAAGGCGATTGGTGGAGCAGGTTGTGAGGGCCGCGACAGATCCGGAGGGCTGTTATCTGTTAACACGATCTAATAAAAATGGGGCAATCATCGTTGGTATTCTTTAGATTTTTCTCGATTCAGTGCTGGTTTGTTCACCGGAATAGATGCCCCCGAGGTCAAAACTATGTCAGAAGACAGTCACGATAATTCGGTTATTCTTCGTGGTTCCACATCAATAAACAGTAAGATTAACGGAGCACAACAGAGTTAATAAGGCAGGGAATAAATTGAAAGTGGACGTACATTCGAGATGATAAGACGAGCAGTCAGCGAATGACGCCAAAGTGTGGTGGTCGGTTTATAAGCGAGCGACAACAAAGAGCAATAGACAATGGAAAATGAATGACGAGATCCGACGAATAGGGAGAAAGACAGGGTAAAATGAGTAAATTCTGGTTACTAACAAACAGTTAGTAGCAAAAAGAAGGACAATAATAGAAATTGACATCAGGGATGTCACAACCGTTAGGTCGTGATTCTCACACTGCCGGTCACCCAGCCCGCACACAGAGCTGACTGTGGCGTCTGAATTAAGGGGTTAGTTGGCAACCTTCCAAGCAACGACTTCGAGCGTGTTGTGATAGACTCAGCCGCGCCAGATTTATTCTAATGAGGGATGTGCTGAAGTGCAGAGATCTAGTAAATTGACGAATCGATGACGCACATTTATATCGCGAAAAATCCCTACATCTTGACTATGTGAAGCTCTAGATAACTACCCCCTTCCAAATGTGCAAGTAACCAACTCGAGGCCGAATACACACCGTCCATACGCGGGAAAGGAATATGTCGGAGCAAATTCTCTTCTCGTGGTAATGCGCACGCCACCCTAGACTTTAACGGTTTTCAAGTCAAAGAACTCGTGATGAATAGAAGTCTGTCAATTAGTTCGTCTGGGTACGCTGAAACGGGGGAAACTTCACCCAACCCCGGCCATTCTCACGTTTCCACGCAATGCATTAAGACCTGGAGAACAAGGCGTACCCCTACACTAGACGGCACTTCGCGCCTTCAAGTACGAGTTACCTGTTCCTCCCTCCTCATGTTTACTTTTTCTGCATACTTACTCTTACTCCTGAGTTCGCAATCACCTTTGTGCTACTCATAACTCTCATAAAGTCGCAAGTGGGCCTACCCCATCAACCGTCAATCTTCATGGACCACATGTACAAGAAGAAGTAAGCATACGCCTTCCCGATTTTCGCCTTCCTTCCTACACTCCAGCATAGGTGCACAACACATTGGTACCTGCATTTTGAATGACACAGTGCCATGCATCCGTAGTGTCTAGAATGAGAACAGCGTATAACTGAAGTGCTGTTTCTTTCGCATATTCTGAACGAGTCAGGCAAGAACGAGGAGCGAACTGCATGTTCGGCACTGCATCAAATGTTCCTGTATTTTCTGCTACGTCTGAGAAGGGTTGGTTTCCATATTAAAAGACGTATTTATGTGAAAAGATCGCAGGATAGGGCAAGCTCGCCGGCCCTCCTACTGTAAACACAGCGTGTCCACAGGAGAACCACGAACACTAGCCGTAAATTGCAGTGTTTAGAAATGGTAATCACGGGCTAAGATTAACTATATCCTGCCGGCGCCACCGACATTCGTGCACTTTTCAACAAAGCCAAGTGCTTGAGAGCGGATCCCGTGGCGCGATGACTGGGGCGTTGTTTGACAGTCAGAGTACGCCGGTTCGAGACACACCTTGCCAATTTTCTACCTACCAACAGGCGTCAAAATAAAAATTGCTGCTACAGACGAACCACAAGGGTGATTGCGACTGCCCGCGCACTAATTGTCGTTTCGGCAGCGTCAGACGTTTGTAGGTCGAACTAAGCTGAATGACCGCGAACCTAAGGAAGTAATAGTGCTTCAATCTAAGACCTGGTGGAGATATTAAAGGATCATATTTGAAATCATTAAAATTATTAAGACGGGCAAACAAAGAGGAATCGCATTTGTTAAAAAAACTATACATAAAAAAGCTAGTGTTCAGAAAAGCTGGGGAAGCCCAAGTATGAAGAACCAAGAAAGGGCTACGAAGTAGTCAAAAGGTGGAAAGAGAGAGTGCACATCCACGGTGGAGGCTCCGATGCAAAGCAAATGAGTCGAATTCGATTCCGCCGCCTACTACCGTTTTATTCGGTCTGCAGTGCAGTGAGGTGCTTGGCCTGTACGTGCCTCCTCCAGAAGGGCATGGAGCCTCGGTTGGATTGGCCTGACTCCGACAGCGCGCGCCTGCACGAACGCCAGTCGCTGAAGGTGTTAGCTTCATTTGCCGCCGCCAGCCGTGAACCACGAACAGCCATCATGCAGGTCACCACCTACGCACAAGAAGAAAGAAAGAATAAGCAACTGATTTTGGAACGTCAGCAAAGTAAAGACCCTAAAATCTGTTCGATGGTGTACCGCGTGCACTATCAGCAATTTTATCGGCAAGAGGGAGCACTGCAGGACAAGGCGTCGGAAAAGGCGACGGCCTAAACCACTCGGCTTCTTGTCGGACTCTTGAACACAAACGATGAGGGCAGCTGCGCCCATATTCTTTGGCGTCTGATGTGATAGTTAACTCGCAGTAATCGATGATGGCTATCTACACCTGAATACTGAGTACGCTTTACTTATTATTGTTGTCTGTGCACATGTTGCCCAATAGGCGAACTCAACTATTGAGGCAGTGTCAACGATGTGATAAGCTTAATAGTCGTTCTCCGGCGCGCCCTGACAAAGAATTTCCCGTTCATGATGCAAAGAATGCATACATGTTCGACTAGGTCGGTAAGTAAATTAAATGTGCCGTCGCAATGTATACAGGCAGCAAGGGTGTCGCTGCTGTTCTCTGAGTCCCGCCTTTTGGGACCCTGAAGAACCAAAAGAGGTACAGGATTCTTACTAAAAATAAAATAGGCCTAGAGCATGTGCACACTAACAATGGCTTGTTTTACAAATAACAAAGCGGCAAAGTTAGACTATGAATAATTTTCCCGAGACTCCGATTTCCGAATACCAAAGACCAACAAAATGACAACTCTTTTTTGTTGCAACAGTTTACAACTAGATCGGTAAGAGGAATTCAGCAAATGCACCCCGTCAATTTAAAAATTTTCAATCAAAATAGATAATCCTTGTTGGATATCTACTCTTGGCTGTCAAGTGTAAAATCAGACTAATTGTCATCTTGTTTTTAAGGCTAAAAGTGGTTTACTGGTATTATACACCAGCCAGACAGCGGTTTCTCGTAATCTGACCGCAACAGTACGAGAGACGCGCCATGATTCGTTCACTGAAAGCGGTTGTGTACAAACTTCAATATCAGCACAGCTGTGGACGTAAAGATTCGTGACCCGGGAATTAATTCAGAAGGAACAGAAGGTTCAACTTACAGGAACGCAGAAACATCAACGGACACTTCTAATCTAGTCTTTATTGCTTCATCAGAAATGAAAAAACGTCAATTTTACAGCCTGGCTGAATCTAGTTGGCGCGATAGGCCTCTGGCTTGTCTTCGTTGAAAGTAGCTGTGTGGGTGACAGGCACGTAATCAGTCTATCTGACGAATAATTGACACGAGGTCTAAGTAATGGGATGCCCTCAGCTGGCCGACCGTCCCACAGCTGGCGCGGATACGTGCTGTGCCCAATTAAGAGTCCGGAACGCCAGAAAAATGCACTTGCTTTCCGGATGATGGAACCTTCTCACTCCTCCCTGAAGTAGTAGGATCAGTCTAGAATTAAGACCGACAGACAGTGGCAGTTCCAATTTTCTTTCACGCACAAAGCGCTTCCTCCCCCCTTCCAAGAATAATGGAAAACAGATGCAAATTTCGCATATGCTTTTGGCAGAGGCTCTTTGGATGTACATCCGTCGGTCGAGACAGACCGAGAAGGGTAAGCTGACCTGATTTTGAGTGGGACGAATGCGGTTGCATGACCGAGCAACTGCCGATAAACCCATTTACCCTGAATCGCTCAAAGACATCGGGTACAAATGTACCGACCACTATCACCACAAAGGGTAGAACCGGCACCCAATGCTTAATAATCAAACAAGTTACAGAAGTCAACAGTTACCTAACTTTTCACGAATGAAGGCGAAATTTCGAGTTCCAGGCGTATGCATAATTGAAGAAGAGTCGGTACCGGAACACTTTGTTTATTGTCCTGAAAGCTCAGGACAATTAAAAAAAAAGTGTTCCGATGCTCGACTCTTCTTCTTTACTTAAGTTACCTAACTGTTTGGAGATCAGAATAGAAATAATAATTTTGATTTCGAACCGCAGATTTTGATGAAAATATGACGGCCGAGAGGTAATTCTACACTGATGCTGATGCACGGTGCACTGAAATCCGGTAAATCGTCACTGCTGACATCATAAAAAAATTCCGACATAATTTAGACGAAAAAGTCTAAATAAGTCGCTAATTCATCACGACGGCCTTACCTCGTATCTGTATGTGCAATTTGTTATGATAATGAGAAGAAGGGTTCGCAAAGGGACAAGAAGCCCATTTTCTCTATCACAAAGGCTGAGAACGTGTCGACGGATAAATCGACAAGCCGAGAAGTAGAGGATTAGTCGGATACTTTCGCAAAATAATCGTGGCCAAAAGCCCTGTGGAAAAGGGAGAAAGGGGTTCAACAGAAAGAATTGAGCATGGTGCGTGTAAGTATGACATTTAAAATAGCATGACGTTTTGGTCTTCACTGCCCAGAGGAACGAAATCAAATAAAAGGTGATAGGGTTCAGGCGTTTCAAAGTATTTAAGAAGCGAAGCACAGGCCTCCCGAAGCTAATCGTATAGACCTGCTTTACAGAGACGAATGGAACACGTTTGCAAGAAAGAACATCAAGTTACCGAGAGAGGCAGAGGGGGAGAGGGGCGTCCAATGATAGCAATCAGTACTGATGCTACCGCCATCAGTAACAAGAGTGTAAAAAGAGCGCGTGGTACGCGGACAGGTGGTGGCGGCAAAGGTTATGTAGAGGAGCAAGCGCAGGGCAGAAACGTGCGCAATCAGGAAAGAAGACCAAACAAACAGCATTACGTCCAGTGAATGTCAGCCATCTAGAAGCTGACTTCGCCGAAGGCTGCGGGTGGGGATGTTTGGCCCTGGGACTAGTGCCAAATGCGATAAAGTCCTCAACGGATCCCCCATTCATAATGACCGCTAAGACGCATATGGATTTTGACAGACCTGCATCTCTACTCTATGCCACATACAAACGCCCGCGAACCATGAACATCGCCCTCTTGCGCATCATCAAAATGAAGTGGGGACGGGAAAATTACAAGAGCTAAAAATACACAACACAGCTTTGGCATACTGTCAGTAACAAATAACTCTAACAAAAAACTCTTTACGACTGAGGGGAACGGTTTATCTTACGCACAAAATTACTTGTGGAGAGAAGAGTTAACAAGCGGTCAAATTCTTCTCAGTGTAGTACAGGATAATATAGGCTATAATAGTTCGCAGATGCCACATGGATATTATGTAGCTTTAGTTCACGCAGCGTCAAATACTTGACACCGATTGAAGGTTTGAGCGGCTAACTCGGAAACTTTTATCTAGAAAAATTATGAAAGCCGATCCCCGGGAACGATAGTGTACTCGCCGAATGTTCCGCGTTGGCACTCGAAAGCATCATTAAAGACAATAATTAAGGCTCAGATGTCACTACTATTTAACCGTAAGCAACCACTATCCTTTTGACTCCTGCAAGATGAAATGAGACAAAGAAGGCAGGTTACACGATCTTCCACTAATTTGAAAGAATACGATTCCATCAGGAACAATATATCCTTGGTCTGACGTTTAAACTACTGAATTCAATCACCTGAATTAAAAGCTTAGAGGGTCAAATGAGCGACTCGCGTTATAAGCTCCGCGGGTCACGCGCTTAACAGAGCCCTTTGCAAAGACCGCAAATGTTAGTTGCGGGTGAGTTATGTGCCCCCGTTCAGTGATAGTCAACCCCGTCTGTTGTCTGCATGGCGGGTCAGGGCACTGAAATGTCGGGTTTCCACGACCTGAACAGTTCCGTCTAGCAAAGTTAGGAGGTAGTCTGGACAATCGGGCCAGAAATTTGCAGGGTCATCAGCGTCGACTTAACCTATTTTTACGGCGTCAAAATTGAAAGGGTCCTTTAGGTGACCCTTTGTGAGCTCGAACAGATATCAATCCAGCATTCGCATAGCAGTTCACTTAGATATAGACGCTAGGAGACAGGTGGCATCGAATGGCACGATCCTCTTGCACGGTTTGACTGCAATGCTCCTGTGCCGATCCATAAATTCCTCGACTGAATGAATCTCCATTTACGAGTTCGTGGTTATAAACTTTACTCTAGGGACAACAACTCTGCAAGCCCACATGTGGATCGGCCTAGAAATAAAAATCTGACTCCTGACTCTGGAACGCTATCAGACCGCAGGACGGCCGCATCTGTCGCCCTCACCCGTTAATAGGCCTTGATTCTGATGCTCCCATGCTTTTTTAGCTTCAACAGACTTCTATTAATCAACATTTTCAGTCAGGCGCTAACAGAGGTTTCGTATCACTCGACCTTCATAAGTAGAACAGGTTTTATTCAGCAGTTAAACTTTTACTAGACCTCTGCCAGTTGGGAGAATGAATATTTGCATGCCGACTTTTAGCTCATCTCACATCCTTCAATCCCTTAAGCGGCACGGACAGTGAGAGAACTTAATGTCGTCAGAGGCCTCGCTCATGTCGAAGTCTAAGGAAGCACCAAAGGTGACCGGCTCAATATTATTTGTCTTAGAGCAGGTTCCATCCCGAAGAGTATTCGTCTGAACTTATGTAAGTCGTATCGATCGGAGGTCGTGCAACGAGGTTTGCTCAGATCTTGAGGCCAAGAGAGCGGATTGGTTTACACTACAACTTTGCTCGAACTTCTCTGTCGTACCGAGGTTGTCGAGTTATCTCTCAGTGCGGTAGTAGTCACACCGGTACGACGGTTCGGCCGTCGTGGCCGAGGATGTCCACCGCGTGCTCCGCAGCGGAGAGCAGGGACGGTGACTTGCGCCAAAGATGGTTTATAGTGATAACAGGCTAGCGCTGCATCTAACGCACTCCCCTCTCCTCCCACACCTGGATCCAGTGTCAAGCCAGTCATGAAAACCGAAGGCGGGAGTGGGCGCAGGTGGCTGGCGTGGCAAGAACCCGCACCTGGGAGTGACACCACACCTCCTGGTCCACAACACACAGTGACCAGGATTTTATACAAAATAGGGGGTGGTATGAGTCCTAATTGGCGCGGCGAGCCTGTGACTAGGTCTGCCACCAGAAACCCAGTGTAGACATCTGTTACAGGTGCGCACTCCCAACAGCGCATGTCGGACTCCGATCTGGCCCTTGCGTCGGTCCAGCGCATCTTCAGCGTGGTCCACTCTACGGTCACATCGATACGTTGGCGCAAAATATGCCCTTTTGCGGTTAGAGCGCTGCAAACGTACTTCTGCATTTTGAGACACGGCCTTTGGACCAAGATCCAGATCGGGCAACGACTGCGGTGAAGCAGTATTTGATTTTTCAAGTCTGTAGTAAGGCTGGTAAAGACCTGAACTAGTACCGATGGCAGCGAAGATACAATCTCCGGACACTTTATCAGGCAATAAAGTGTGAATCGAGAGAAATACACTGCATGACTCCTTTGATTTCTCATCGGTCTTCCTTCTTGCCCAGGTGGTGCGGAGGATTGAACGAGGTGTGTTTGCTTAGCAAATGGGTGAGTGGACATCTCTCTGCCAGGCCTCAGCTATTGCACTGGCTGTTTCCACCTCAGCTGGCTCACTTATTCGTGCACTGTCAAAAGCAAACTGCGGCAGTGTTAGAAGTTGCGCGCCGCCTTGCTGGCGGAGCATGTCCATGCACCTGTACTGCCAGTCGTCCATCAGTTATACTGCAAAGATGGGTCCAGTAACGCGGTAACTGCTGACAGCTCCTCAAGCGGCAGCCGATCCTTGAGTGGCACAAAAAGGCAGCGGATCGCTGGCATAGGCTGTCACGAGCTGCTCATGTTGACCGGCCTCGATATGCGCGCAGCAATTTTACGAGAGGTCGTACGGTTCCGACATAGGCATTTGCCTACGAAGTCGTCCACGAAGGAGGAAGATGTACCATTAAGACATGCGCTCTCCAGATTCCCATTATATTCGCTATAATGTGTAGATCTAGTGGAGCGGTGGCTGGACGTGCCTCCTCCGAAGTTATAGTCCAAGAGACTTCGGGGGAATTACCTCATACTTTCATTAGGCTGAGATGCCTGTTGGATATCTTCTTTCTGCAGGACTAGTATTATGGCTTCTGTAGTAATGGCAAAGTAATGTAGTAACGTGTATGTTTCAGTCTCCGATTGGATTTTGTCGGTTTTCCTTTTACTTCCGTCTTTTTGAAATGCGGCCTTCCTGTACAGTGTCCGATCTCATCATCAGTCGGCAAGAATTCTCGACCAATTCACTGGCTACGAATGGGTCGCAGGCGTCACGGGCACCAATCTGTCAAGTCGCACCAAAACAAGCTGACGGAGATGCGGTTACAGTGATACAGTGGTGTTTCAGGTTTATGCTGCCTTTACCTGACCGATCACGACGCTGATCACCACTTGGGACCAGAAACGCAAACATGTGCACATGCCTTCAAATACGGTGTGTTTGATTCAGGACGCTACTGAATCGGTGTATGTCCATTCCTGTGTGAATATATGTCCGATCTGCAGCAACTGAGAATGTCAGGTAGCGGGAAGCTGATGAACTTCGGCTCCGGGAAGTGATTATCTGACAGACCTTCTAAATGAAGTATCGTGCTGTGCGCGTCTGCAAATGTGTTTCTGGCTCCAGACGGTGGCCGGAATTGCGTCTGACAGGAGGAAGGCATAATAAGCCTGAAACATGATTTTTCCGGTGTAATTTGCGTAAGCGGTTGAAAAGATGTTCAAAGGAAAAGCCGGTAAGGCACCGTGAGATAAGTGACTTGAGGTTCTGCCGCCTGCTGACTAGTCTTGACACTTTAGCTTGTTACGCTTCCAGTCATAAATAAGTCAGGTAAGTCCGATGTATGTTTCATGATTTTCGGTGCACAGTGAACTTGTAAGACAACTTTATTCCCACGAACAGCAATGAACGACTCCTCCTCACGTGGGCTACTGAAGTAACCGACTGGTATGTATCGGCGCTGCATTAAAGTAACAATGTCACCGGTCGCCGGATGACCACACACAATGTACTCTTTTAGTAATCGCCCTAATAATTTCTTAGCGACAATCCCTCGGTTTCCTGGTACACGTTTCCGGGAAACACACTGTATGGCATTATACGCTCAAAAGAAATTAAACAATGTAAGATTTCTCGTAACGCAACCATATAGATTGAATAAGCAAACCAAACATTCGAAAAGCACCTGTCTTATTGACAAAAATGATGTTGTGTGGCTTCGAGAACATGACGTTTGTTAGACAAAGGTTAGACGCACACAGGCCGCTTATACAGTTCTCACTTTCTAACAGGAGCACTTTCGAGCTAAGCAGAACATCTTAAATTAGTATTTACAACAAGAATGATAAGTAGAGGGTTGGAATTATACGTCACTGTTCAAATATCTGAATCTGAAATCCTGCGGACTTTGAAAGCTTTAGGGTAATGCCTACTTGCAAATCGTGTACATGATTTTAAAGTCGACCTGATGCTCCGTCTTGCGCGAAAAATTCCAATAATTGGTACCTACAAGGAACGGGGGAAACTAGTCGGCAACACTTTCATCAGCTGTCGCCCATAACTATGCAACCGCCTAGAGGAGATCACCAGTCGGGCAGAATCGTTCATATTACGTCCAGCAGCCGGAATGGATCAGTGGTGAACGCCATTTCTATGGCAAAGAAATAAAAATTACCGATGCAATTGAAAGGACAAAGATCCCATGGTTCAATAGTCAGAGCTCCGGACTTCTAACCAACAGAACGAGGACCTGAGCTGTAGGGCTTGGGGTTGGGTTTGGCTGGCCGATTACGGCAAACAAGCCAGAAGTCGCCACTCTAGTCTCCCGTATCTTTGTCGGTAATGTCAATTTGTCCATACTACCAGTCGCTGTGTAGTTGCCTGCAGGGCTCTAGATCGAGCCTAAAGGCACAACGGGAGGAGTTTGTCCCGCAGCGTGATCGGTGGGCGCATCTCCACCACAGGCTAACCATTAGGTGATAAAGATTACCATAGGTCTGTAAAGCACACGAACTGTCACGTAAATCGTCGTTTAATACTGCATTCGTCTGAAAGAAGGTTCTCTAATCAGCCTTTTGCCTTATGACTTTCATCAGCAGGTGTTCGTGTTTAGCGCTGCAATTAGACATTACGGTTTGACTGTCGCGAACGAAGATGTCCACCGTGTGCCCCACAACATGGTGGACGCAGGACGGTGACCTGTACGTGAATTAGTTATAGTGGCGGCAGGCTTGCGCAGCATCTGTTGCACTCTCCCCCCCTCCCTCACCCACCTCTGTCCGGCGACAAGATAGGGTCGGGACGACTGGGGGAGGGTTCGAAGGCAGGGGTTGACATACGTCATAAATAGCATTTAAAATTTTAAAGCCAAATATCTACATGCATTTGTTTCGGGTACACAGGGTGTGGATCATTTAATATGTACGTTAACACAGATGGGTTCCTAGAAATCATTACTTGCCAAAGGTGCCGACCATATTTACATAATTTCAACCACAAGTGTACGTAATGCTAAAAGCAGTACGCAACAATTAATTAGCTCAAGATCATAACACATAAGCCGGGGATAACTGGAAAGATGCTTAAAATGGGGCATATCTGATCTCATCACTGCGCTTTGTTTAAGTCATGTGTCATTTCCTTTGGTATTAACAATAGATCGGCTATTCATTGTGGTGACGGGCCCGGACGGTTCACTGGTGCATGCGAAAGGACAGGCGTGACCGACACTTGGGAATCCATTCCAACGACATATCAGCAAATTCTTTATTATAGCAAATCCGATCCACTTGAGCATATCCCGAGGCCCCTTCAGTCGTGGCTTGGATGGTTACGAACTGACAGAATAGCTCGGTCTTTCTCGGGATCGAGAGACAAGCTGCAGTGGTTCTTTCTCAGTGTAACTTTAAGGATATTCCCGCGCATGTGGATCGGGTCCGTCCTAGCAATGACCTGAACATGCAGCAGGGGCCAGGTCGTGTGTAGCACGCGCGGACGGACTGTGCAGTTTTGCCAGCCCCTGGGCCGGCGCCCACTTCCGGTGGCCTTTGTCTTGCCATTGGGGCAAGCTCGGCGACGGAGGAGTGCCGCAGATGCCGCGCAAGTCCGCCTCGTTGTGACCTCATTCACGGGTGGTGCTGCGCCCACCCCGTGCGGCACTCAGTGAACGTCATCGCTTACGACATCCAAAGTGTTAGAACGTTTCCACATTCATCTTGACTAGAAATTTTTTGCCAGAGAAACATGTGTTCAGTTGACGAGGATAGAAACGAGCAGCAGCTATACTTTCATTATGTACTCTTCAGACGAAGTTTTGATGGTAAAATTGTGACGACAGTTTATAGGAATGGAACACCACGAAACCTCTCAGTTTTTACAGCGCTCATCCGGTGGTCAACAAAAGTTGCGTGGAAACACTTCTTAAATGGATTCAAACTCACTGCAGCAGCCCAGAGGGAAAAGCATGTGACGTCCGTCATCCCTGCGACCAATTTATCCGGAATGGCTGTGCGACGGTGTTTGTAAGTCGACGCCTACGCGTTTCCTCCAGCCGGGGGACCCAGCCGGGGACTGAGGATGCGGCATGCTCCACCACGTATGAAGGACGTTCCAGAGGCGACCGATCATATTGCCGCGGGATAAGATGCTGAAATTTACGCCAGTCCAAAGCTATCGTACGCAGGAGGGTTATGCAAATTAAGGACCTATTGAATCCCAGGGAGCGGTCACGTATGGTGTGTCGTATCCCGTGACTAGACTGTCTTTGTGGTTACACAAGTCAGGCTGACTACATGCTCGGACCGCGCATACACGAGCATAAGCTAGCTGTGTGACGGGGTTACGAGTAACTACAACCGGTGGTCCACACCATCGAAACGGGCCCCGAATGCAACTTTGCAGCCGCTAAAAAAAATTCTCAAGCCAAAAACAAGATATGCCGAGAGTTGATTGAAACCTGGGCCGCGGGTGAGGACTCAATCAATCGGTGTATTGATTTGGCAACCGCATACGGCGCTCTCCGCTGTCAAGTCCCGACCTGTGGCAACGGTTGTTGGTTGGCTAATGACCCTTATAAGTGCCATTTGTTCTGTTGCTACTGTCATCTCTGACGACGGACTCTAGCACGTGCTCGGAAGCTCAAGAAAATAACGAAATTGTTCTGGCACTCAATTAGGTTCTTTCTTTCTTACTCAAAGCATGTGGTAAATTACCAGCGTGGACAGAAGAAAGACCCGTAATGGCTTGTGCAACTTTTTTTATCATTCTAAGGAACAAATTAAATCACAACCATTCATTTGCAGCAGGCTGTCAATGGATGGGTGAGTTGCGCTAGTGCACCAAGGATAGAAAGTCAAGTGATGAAGTGATGGGTAGTCAGACATTATTAAAAACATACCTGGACGAACCCAGGAAGACCACTTTCTCTGTATATACTCCAAACTGCCTGATGGAACCAGTTGTAACCGCCCTCTCCACCGACAAAGCTGGCCATTTGCCGTACCATAATAACTATATGGAAGGGAAGGTAGCAGAAGGGTTACGATATAAACTTTTAGTGCGTCAAGTCATGAGCTCGTCCCCCTTCCAGGTAGGAACAAGACCAATGCTAAAGCCTGTGGCAGACTCGTCAGATAAGAGATCGGTATTCACAATAAGGTTGCTCATTTCCACCTGATTATTTAAGCATGACGAAGACGGATCTCACGGTCACCGGCGCCAGTATTTGGGAGCAGAGAGGGCAATGCACTGCATACTTTCTTGTGCTCTCTCAAGCAAACCTCAAAATGGCTGCAAACCAAGAGTACTTACGTGGCTGCACCTGTATCGGCTGTCGCCAGTGCTGGTTTGGCCAGCACCGGGATCCACAGCATCGGTAAGTAGTGCAGTCCACGCTCAGCGGTCAAGGACTAAACCGTCAGGAAAGGCTGTGCTATTGGTGTTCCATTTCCAGACACCATGACCAGGTTACACAGCATCCTCTTCAGCACATCAGCAATCCGACGTGTGTGCAATTTTCGGTGTGTCCAACAGACTACGTTGTAACGATGAGGGACTAACGGGGATTAAAATGTTTGCTTTGCAAGTACGCAGTGCCATGGCGGGTCCTCAAACGGATTTAAATGGATTTGGGGATTTAGGTGCTCAAAAGACGAAAGACTTTCTACGGTGCTTCTCCAGGAAAGTTCAAGTTAAAAACTAGGACGGTTTTTGGAGGGGAATATAAAATGTACGTACGGACCATAAAACGGTTGAGTCAGAAGAATTTCGTATGCCTTCATTGCCAGCAGTCCAGAAAGATGAATTCCAAACTTCCATAGCGAGGCCTCCTCCATTATATTCTCCACAAGACCATTCCATCGTTTTGTATGCGGGTTTTCATCTGCGGCTGGGCTAGGGTCAGCGAAAACAAATGTATCCACATTGGTGAGCAGCGGAAGGGAATCCTCACTATGTTCTAGGAGAAACCGGCGATTCATGAACTGACAGGCATCCGTGAGGAGATCGTAAAAAAATCGGGCCTGGAAACCGGTTGTCATTACGTACCAGAAGCCTCTTTTATGAAACAAATACCGGGCGTAGGCAAACATGTTTGGGTAAAAGAATACGGGTTTCGTCCAACCAAATAGTATTAGTGGGTGAAGAGAACGGTAGGGAGGAAGGGGTTCGTAGCCCAGCTGAATCAGGGTACGGGAAAAGCGAATAGGATTTATAATTTGGCGTATGAAACATTGTTCAGGACTGATGGTGTGCAACTGCCGATCAAGCTGAGTGTCCGGCAACCCCTCCATCAAAGGATATTCCACTGACACCGCTAAGTGTAAGCTGAAAAATAAAGAAATGATAGGGACCGGCTTATTATGCAGGCAGTTGTGAGTCTAAATGAAATCTGCTGAAAAATGGAGGTGAGGGCAGTATAATTTACGTGCCCGTGAAAGTAACGGTGGAAATTTGTGCTTCTTTACTTCAGTCTTCTTAATTCAGCGCAATTTTGTCCTTTTGCACTTGAGGCATGACCTTGATTAGATGTTACAAACAGGATACTGGTGTTATCCCGAACGGCTTAGCAGTTTTGGAAGATCTGCAGTCCTAAACGGGGCCGGTTTGTTGATTACCCTGGGGTTCAAAAGGGTTTTTCTAACAGAATTATAACTGTGAGGTAAAACAGGGGTACACTTGTCCGATGCCACGCTTGCCAAAAACCAGTTTTCATACAGATAAGTCTAGGAAGTAAATAGCATATGTCATGCTAACATAAGCCCCAGGCTAAATTCCACCTTACCTACTACTTTTCTACTTCTCTTTTTAGTCCCAGTACGTCAATTGTAAGATGAATAAAGCCCTGTTACAGGGTATTCTCGTTCTGACTCTTACAGTCATATTCGTTGGTCCTCTCCATCTCGTGTGCTTGCTACGGTCCTAGCTACTACAGCATATTTGGCTGGATTTATTCCAGACCCCTCGATCGCGTTAAATACCAAATAATAGAATTTTGCCTGTGCAAACCACACCATGTCTCCCTGATAGGACGTTATTCAGTGGAGTACTGGGTCCATAATTGCGGCTTCTGGCTCTGAAAAAACCTGCTCCTTTAATTTGGTCCAGTCTGAAAAGACTACACATTCAGACTTTGATACCGGCATGTTCGCAAGGCACATGCCTACTCTTTACTGCGAAGCAGTCAGTGAGGGAGTAGCATATGCCAATGAAAAGCGATTCGCGCAGACCTTAACTAACGCAATTAGCCATAATGGCACGGGCCTTTGAAACAAACAGCCACCAATCAGTCGACCGCATCCCAAGGTGCAATCTAAACGGTAACTGACTGAGCCAGTCTATGTCACTACCACACAAGTGACTGACAGGTTGGGCCATGATTGACAACGCGACAGCAGTAAAGTGTGCGCCTGATCGGCTATCCCTAGATGACATGGAATTCTAGCAGCATTCACAACATCTAACAGCACTGTATACAAATAAGAGCACGCGTAAACTCGCCAAATGCTCTTCTGAATTGCTCCATGGAAATTTTCGCAACTTAAAATAAGAGTCGTCATTTCCTAACGATGTGTTCGTGTTTAGCACTGTATTTACACGTATTTCATAAATAGCATTTACGATTTTAGTGTCAAAAGCCTACGTGTAATTGTTTCGGGTCCCCAGGGTACGAATCATTTAGTGGCTCGAGCACCATAAAGCCGTTAATACCCTTTTGAGCTAGTATGGTTAAAGCGAGGCGACTCCTGGAAATCATTATCAGTCAAAAGTGCCGATCACGTTTACATAATTCAGATCGAAAATGTATGCAATACTAAGTGACGAGGAAGACAAGTATCTCAAGACCATAAAAAATAATTCGAGGTAACCGAAATGGCGTTCAAAATAGGACAGGTAGGAAGTCCAGAGCATCAGTAGGTGGCGGACTGAACGGCCTTTAACGGGAAGCCCCCTACAAAACAGCAAGCTCCTGAGCCGAATACTATGTGGTAAGAATACCAGCTTGTGTGGTTGGTCGCCGACATGGCAAGTCGGGGACCTAAAAAAACAAGCGTAAGGGGAAATGTGACCTGACGAGTACGAAATAAAACCCCGCGGGAGGTCCTACGCGACCGTAGGCGTTAAGTCGGACGGGAATGTAGACCTCGTTTGTGCCTCGAATCTCGATAACGATGAAGAACAGGGTCCCCAAACATTCCCCGTCCGCAACACACCAAAAGGAAGGGCTTTTGGACGCGGCACGCTAACGTGACTTTCCAAATAAACAAAAAATTAACTTTAAGAGCTATTCAATATATTTCCAGGCGGGTAATTTTAAGGACCACCAGTATAATGGATGGGCTTGTTGTTGAGGGGAAATAAACTAGAAACGTGACTCCACAGTCGACAAGCTGACATGAATTCCACCATGACCTATTTGAGGTCGTCCTTATCAGATTTAATTTTGTGTCGGGACGAACAATCGTCATTTCCAAAGATACGAAGGCCTATATAGCAGCGAGGACTTGACTGCCTTTCAATTAAGTGGCACTGGCTCCGAATTGTCATTTGAAATGCGTACAACGTTTGATCATAAACGGCATCTTGTGAATCCAATCGAACTTCCGGTCATCTGCATTTTCTTCATCGGCCACTGTCAGACATGTAGTTTCGTAGTTTACAAATGGATTTATGACCCACTCACGCTCTTCTATTTCAAAAAGACGACCGGTAGAAGCGAACAGGCGAGTTCCAGAAGGCTGTTCAGAAGAAGAATAATAGGAAGTAAAAGAATGTCATGCCAACATAAGTCCCTGGCTAAACTGCATCTTACCTACTATTTTTCTATTTCTCGTTTTAGTTCCAGTACGTCGGTCGTAAGATAAAGCCCTACCATAGGGTATTCTGGTTCTGATTCTTGCATCCTGATTTGTTCATGCTTTTCTTCTCGTGTGCCTGCCGCGGTCTTAGCTACAACAATTTATTCATTTTACAACTCCAGAACGGATCGATTCCTTGGGCCAGAACGACTCGATATTGATCCAAATGCTTAAGACGCTTCTAAACAGTGGAATCATTGGTTTCGCACTTTTGCAAATTTCTCATCTACGATCGATAGCCTGAAACCGGATAAATTAAGCGTTCTTGCTACCTACGTCTGTCCGACAGTCTGGGAATGCATTATTGAATGCTCCAGTTATGAAGAAACCGTCAAATTGCCACGACATCTCTACTTAAGACTCAGAATCGGAATCTTCGCCCACCATCTTCTGGCAACCTATAGACAGGAAGACGGACAAACTCTCGGCCAGTTTGCTCCAAAGTTAAGCTACTTAGCTAAGGATTACGACTTTAAAGCCGTTCCGGTAGAACAAGATCGCGACGATGCCATCAGAGGTGTAAAAGAATTTGAACTTCCAAACTGCTTTTGATCAGGCAAGGTCACTTGAATTGGCAGAAAGACAGTCTCTATCGTATCAGAACCCTCCGACGACCTCATTCTCTGCCGCTACCAAGCCACGTGAAACTTCTTCGAGTCTCTCTTCTGGTGGCCACTACTTCATTCCAGGCACCGCCATTCGATGTGTCCCGCACGCGAGGCGTTATGCAAAAAATGCGGGAAAAAGGTCACTTTGAAAAGTTGTGTCTTGCATCACTAAACCGATGAGCCATCTCTTTCACCAGGCATTTCCGCCGTGGCATCAACCGTAGTTCCCGAGCGTCTTCCCAGCGCGGTGGTGGAATTACAGATAAATGGGACTACTTTTCAGGCCTTAATTGGGACGGGGCGGAATGTTATCAGAGGAAACACCCATGACCGTCATATTGTGTTCTTTAGTTTAGTCTTTTGAACAGAAGAACGAAAACGGTGTGATAAAGTAAAATTATTAACGACAATCAAGCAAAAACGAACCTGAATAATAGATCCTTAAAAAAGAAGCGAGAGTTCAGTTATTTGCACGTCAAATTTACGAAACCAATTGTAACTCCGATTGTAGTTCGAATAAAGAATATTGTTTTGTATTGTGGTGTGCAGTTCCTTTGTTGAACGGTAGTTGGGTTACGGCCCTTCCGACTTCGATTGGGTTCACCTAGACCCTTGTTCGTCGACTGTGATCCCTCGACAACGTACGCAAATTAGCCATTTAGAATCTTAAGTCATTTTGGCCGTTTATGAAATTTCCCTTGAAAAGTAGAGAGTTGTTCGAATGAGAAGACACTTTTTGATCACGGATCCAGTGTAGTGACCTCGGCCACTACGCAAGGTTAGAGATGGTGTGATTACGTGTCACCGAACTTAACTGGTGGTTTGTCCTCATATTCCCGCTGACCTCCTTCCCGCCGTTATTGCAGTTACCGTTCCGTATTTCCCGCTTCCTTTAAAACACTTTCCATGGCCACACCCTGCATTTGCCGACAGCGCTGCATTCCCCACAGACTGTGTAGCTGATGTTTTGGAATAACGTCCCTCCTGTTGTAAATCTCATTCTCCTTTGTATTGTTTAACACTTTCTGATGTGTTAGTTCCACTGTAATTTCGCACCATTTGACTGTTCCTACTCCTAGCTTGGATGACCTCGATGACCGTTTGATAACTCTCTTCAAATCAATACTCGCCAAGAGTTATACCTAGTTCTCCACGTTACCCCGCGTGTGCTACCCTCAATGTCTTCGGCCTCTACATGTAGAAATGGTCAAACATGGCCAGCTTGGCTTCAAGAATGCTATTCGCTGTTCGATCCTATCTTTCATTGCCTTACTTACCCAATCTTATTGACCTATTCATTTTAAGCCTATCTGAATCGCCTGGATCTCCCATAAGTATGATATTGATCAACGTCGAGCAACTCGGACCGTAGAACGCCTTCGGGAGGCCATCGCCACCCTCACAATCCCCTCGCACATTCTTTTTTCTCACCGACTGCAATTCATCCCCAAATCAGCTGGTCTTCGCCAAAGTAGCCCTTAGTGAACTCTTGGTCGAACTTCTTCCCCTTCCATTAACTGTTCTCCCGAAACCATTAAGTATGCTCCCCTTCCTGTTAGGGTACCATCTTCGCTATTTGTTTAGGTTTGTTAGATAAGTCTGAACTCTCCGATTCGCGGCTAATCGGAGTTTTGCGAAATTAAAATAAACGCTTACTGCTTTAAGTAGGCATTTTTCTTTAAACTTTTGTCATCCGCTGCTTTTCTCGCTGAGTGCGTGTCCGTCGTGTCTTTCGAGGTATTGCTTGTGCTAGTTGTGATACAATCACTCGCCGCAATTTCCATTAGTAGTATTCGTTGCAGAGGTGGCCGTGGCACTAGATTTCTATTCACGATATTGTTAGTCCCTTTCTGTTGTTCGTATTTAGCTCATTAAATATCGTTGCATAGCCACTGACGTTCCCGGTACTAGTAATACTTCAGTCAGTGTTACGTATGCCATTACACTTAGTAAAGTTGAAGCGTTAGTAGTGGTCGTTTCAGTAGTAGCATTCGTAGTAGTAGTAGTAGTAGTAGTAGTAGTAGTAGTAGTAGTAGTAGTAGTAGTAGTAGTAGTAGTAGTAGTAGTAGTAGTAGCAGTAGTAGTAGTATTATTACTAGCACTTCCCTATGGTAGCAGAATCACCGCTGACATTAACCCATATCATCAGTACTGGGTTTGCATTTCCCAACTGTATTTGATCTACTGACTGCAGTGGCAATTCGTCAGGCACCGACACTATCCCCAGTATCCAGTCTTATTGCAGAAGACTTATTGAGGTTGTTCTGCTTGTTGCTGATGTACTAGTACCGGTAGTTACTGCTGTCGCCCTGCATGCAAAATTAGTAGAATTTAAAATAGGTTCCGTACTGTTCGCTGCCGTCAGATTAGTATTTCAGTATGTAGCACTTGCGTGGTAGTCGTAGTAATAGTCGTAATATTAGTGGCATTACTAATAGTACTAGGGGCAACATTATTAATAATTGAACTAAAAGTTCTGTTGGTAATAGTAACATTATTGGTGATTTTAGAGGTTCTACCGGCATAAGCAGTTGTAGTTTACTGGGTTGCAGTAGTTGTGGCGGAAGAAGGGTTGAGCAGCAGTAGTTCTAGCTGTGGAAGTTTTCATATTGCTACCACATCCGTTACTAAACGTCGTAGTATTGGCAGTATTGACGACCGCAGCATAAGTAATAGCAGTAGTTGTCGTCTACGTAGAGGTTTCTGATTTCCTAACTTCACCATTTTTAGAAGCATTGCCAGAAGCCTCGGTATTGCCTTTCACTAACAGTGGCACTGCTACTGGCGGTAGTATTAGTTGCAAACCCACTGGCACTAACAGTCATTCCGGTAGTATCCGCTGCGTAGACTTCGCACTTCCTACCGATCACGTAGTCGTAGTGATGCCAGCGGTACCGAAATTTCTTACCGGTTTACTACTTTTGGGAGTCGCACGCGCGCCAACTGACTTCAATCTCGGTGTCCTTAATGTAACACTGAGTGGCAGTTGCGCTTTTAGTATAACTATATGTCTCAATGGCCATAAGAGTAGTTTATGATGGTGACAGTAATAGTTGTGCTGCCCGTTAGTGCAGTAGTACTCGTAGTAATCGTGTTGGCAGTAGTATTGGTAGTAGTCGTTTTAGTAGCAGTAGTAGCAGCATTAATAGGAATGGTTTGGTCATTAGTGGTTGCACTAGTAGCGGAAACACTGGTATAAGCCATGGCAGACGATTTTGAAGATGTGGACGTTCCCCCGGTATAAGTAATGGATGCAAATGTAGAGTAAATAGTAGTATATATACCAAATGTAACCAGTCTACAGATGGAAGTAATACAACTACATGCGGTAGAATTGGATGCAATAGGCTGTATAGTAGCCCAATGGGGCTAGGTGTCCTCCAGATACCAATTGTGATTTCCATCGTTGTAGTAGTGTACTTCTATGGACTTCAATAGGGGCAGGTCCATTCGCATTCCATACTTCTTCTACGAGAAACATATCTCATAGCATCAGAAACAGCTTTTGCTTCAGTGACGGTAGTCGTCGAACTACCCGTAGCAGTAGTTTTACCATCAGCATTACATGTGGTAAGTCAACCGAACTTCCGAAATGCATTTTCGTTTCGAAAAGATTCAGTAAGTAGGGTTGTAAACTTCATCATCTTGCAGCATAATTCTATAATAATTCAGTTACCTAAGGATGCTGGCTTTCGAACGAACTTCTTCCCGACTGCTTGCAAAACTATCCTCTGTAAAAAATGACTACATATGTAACACGCATTTTACTCACTGATCTTCGATGCCCTCAAAAATTCAATTACATTTCATGGGAACAAGTATAAAAATATTTCTACTTTTGCTCCTTTGGTATCAGATTACGCCTTCTTTCAATTTCATACGCCATGGAAGGGTATAATTTGGTTTCCAAAACCTTTTTCCAATTCTCGAATAATTCATATTGACCCAACTGTGAAAAACTCGGCGTCTCGGTGGGATTCGAACCCACGCAGTAAGGGGAAGGCTTTAGCGCAGCCAACGCTCTAACCACCTGAGCTACGAGGCCCCGCCGGACGACGCGAGTTTAATCACATTTGGGTCAAGTTACCCGCCCAACCTACTGCAACGTCTGGAATTCACCAAATCTGATACAGTAAGCTGACTACCCAAGCCGGATTTCCTAAGTACTTCACCTAGAATCAAAATCTGCCGAAATATCAATGAATTACGCGAGCCTGATAGTCATCTGGTGGATTCTAGGTGAATTACTTAGGAAATCCTGCTTGGGCAGTCAACTTACTGTATCAGATATGGTGGATTCCAGACGTTGCAGTAGGTTGGGCGGGTAACTTGACCCAAATGTGATTAAACTCGCGTCGTCCGGCGGGGCCTCGTAGCTCAGGTGGTTAGAGCGTTGGCTGCGCTAAAGCCTTCCCCTTACTGCGTGGGTTCGAATCCCACCGAGGCGCCGAGTTTTCACAGTTGGGTCAATATGAGTTATTCAAAATCTGCCAAAATATCAATGAATTCTCGAATAGTTTTGGAGCCGACCTGCCGTCACATTTGCATTCAGAGTTTCCAAACTGCAAGCCGTATATTTCACCGCGTACAGAAAACTGTAATTTCTCTACGATGTTAAGAGGAAACTATAAGTGGTTCATAAAATTTACCGTGGATTTGAGCCATGTAGTTAACTTTACAAGCCACATCGGTGCATGCAGATAACGGACGTTTTATGAATGGCCATTTGACAGTATTAAAAACTCACAATTAGAAACTTTTTAAAACCAAATTATGCCCCTTTTTTGAGTATAAAATTGGAAGAAGACGTAATTTTGTATCAAAGGAGCAAATGAATGAATATGTTAATGTATGTTTCCCATGAAATATAATTGCATATTTAAGGACATCAAAAGTCAATGAAAAAGTGCATGCTACTTATGCAGTCCTTTTTACAGAGAATAGTTTTGCATGCAACCGGAAAAACGTTTGTTCAAAGGCCAGCATCCTGAGGTAAATGAATTATTATAGAATTACCCTGCAGGATTATTAGTTTTACAACCCTACTTAATTACTATTTTTGGAACGAAGATGCATTTCGGAATTACGGTTGACATTTCATGAGTTAGCTCACTAACTGTACTACTAGTCGCGACGCCCTGAGGTAATGGTTGTTGTAGTAGTACTAGCACTAAGTTTATTATTGTCAGTTATCGTATGTAGTTTTAATACGGACATCTGACTGAGTACTCACACTGGCATTCCTATTAATCGTATTGACTTTTACGACAGCCTACACCAATTGCCGTAGCAGTAACAGTAGCCAGCAATTGCTGCAGCGGGAATAATTTCAGTTTTTTTCGACTACTGTTAATTGTGATGGCAGTACCCATAACAATACAGTCTCCGTTCTACAGTTATATTAAGGGCAGCGATATTACCAGTTCCGTTTACAGTGACATTGCCCACAGTGCAATGCTGACAGCCGTAGATATACGACTGTTAATGGTTGCAGTTCTAGGAAATGTCTTCCTGTAGGCCGTCTCAATGGGGGCAGTACTATTACCAGACAGTATATTGATTACCTCAGTAGTATTTGCAGTATTATTTCTGTCCGAAGTCTTCTCAGCAGAAGTCGTAGTGCTTATATGACACAGCCAATGGACGTAGTTATTCAGATTCCTTCGATTTAAGGTCGACTTGCATAACATTTTCCTTATGGAAGTTAAATAAAATAATTTATTAACCTACTTTATCATTCTCCACACCAATAAAACCCCAAAGTTGCGATTACTTACTTGCCCAGCTTTATCTAAGGACAAACCGGCTTTCGGAACTGATGCTGACGGTTTCCGTATGCTGTTTACGAATGGACGCGGTGTACTAATTAACGTTAGTAATTTTTGCTTTGCCCATATGACATTGTAGAGGACAGCAGTGCTTCAAGCCCAAGTTGAATTACCTTCTTGAAAAATCACTTATTTTGCCTAGACACAAAGGTAAATTTCTCCGTATTCAAACTGCTTGCCGATTGGGGTACTTTATTCTCTCTCTTGTCTACCGAGCTTGTGCGGTTTGGGTTGACATGTTGGGTTTGGTTTCATATTTACTACAACAGTAAGCTGCAGACGGAGAGCATATGATTGCTATTTGCAGTACTCATACCCGAGGTGAGCTCATTGTGTGGCTACCGAGTTAACATCCCCGCAGGTCATACGTGGCTGACCAGTTTACCTGGAGAGCTGGTTAGAGACTTGCCGAGGTGCGAAGTGTGTTTAGGTGGGAGTTATGAGAATTCGTGCTGTGGTGAAATGGGACTAAAACGCCATCACACCATGCGGTAGGGGAGGGGGTCGTTCTTGCAGCTCATGTATGCTTATCCATGCATGCGTCCTGTCATGCAGCTCGGACAATGAACAAACATAGGCTCGTGAATAAATTTTAGATTGACTAGGAAGGTAGGGATGGGGGAGTTTAACGGATGTGATAGTGAGCCGGCGGTCATGTCTTGACTGGAGCCGGTTGAAGAGACGCCGTCCAAGGCTAACATCGCCCACACATGGTGGTAAGTTCAGGACAGTCAGAAAACTCGAGTGTTTTGTTTAGCTTGAAACTGTGAACTTGATGACTGATCTGAGGGGATGGGGGAGGGACTCATATTGGCAAAAGACACCGAGTGGGGCTGTGGAAACAGTTGTTGCAACATTACGAACATTTCGAGGTCACGCAGGGTCAGGCATTAAGACACTTGAGTGGGTGTCTGCATTTAGACCCTACCTCCCGAAGCCTTTTGGTACCACCGCAAACGTTATTGTAGGAGTTTGGTGACCGCCAGAACAAAGACTTCGGGGGGTCTTGGTGGCCGCCGCATGTCTTCAGGCACATAGGGGACAGGGGTACTGCACGCTGTTCACTGCAGACATTCACAGAGACATGCCATCTCCCGACACAACCTCCTTACCTACGCGGAAATGCCGCCGATGTAAATTAATCAGGCTGCGCTTGACATACTTGGTTTAGACAGACGGGGGACTTGAAATTCAGCCTTGGGTTCAACAATTTCATTTCGAATGTTACCTTACTCTTTTACCAGTAGAGAGGCAGTTTGCCTGTAATCGGCAAAGGTACTCACAGGATGAAAATGACTAGATGTTTCAGTTTTAATTTCTTAAAGTATTATCTCTCGCAACAACAGTATCCGTTATTTTATCACTTAATGGTTTACTGTTCGTAATACTTACAGTTGAATTTTAAGTGATCTGAGTATTGACGACAGTAATAGTTGTCGTATCAGTAGTAGGGGATTACACAACGCCATCAAGCGTTCTGCAGAATGATAAGTCGACATAAACTACGGTACATAAGCTATCTAATGCGCACCCGCGGTAACATTATTGGTAGTCGTAGACATAGCAGTCCATATAACTTAGTTCCTACTAGCGCTAGGACAGCATCATCAGCAGCAGGATCTGTTGTGCCATATCTTAAACTGATTGTGCTCGTAACATCTTCTGTAAATGTTATCGGTACTGCCCGCATATACGAAAATAACTGATGGAGGGACTGCTTTTACATATGCAGACCACTGTTCTGCCGTAGTACATCGATTGTTAGCCAGGTACACGAACCCTTCCTTTTCCGTTTACGCAACAGACATACCTTTTTGCGCTAGGACTAGCATAGTAGTATTTACAGAAGTGGTAGTACCGGCGTTGCCTTACACCCGGTAGGACTTGCAGTAGACTTGTTAGACGCAGGCATTTCAATGGTGTAAGTAAAACCCGCGTCTCCAATAGTGGCAGCAACCTTGATCACAACACCTTGAACACAACACTTCGAGACGTCATGCATGTTGGCGTATCACTTGCTTATTTATTCTCTTACTACTAACAGCATTAGTCCTAACCATTAGTTCTGCTATCTGCTATTCGGCAGATAAAAGCAACAGTGGCATTATCAGTATTATCAGTCAGACATACATCAGATGTGTTAACTTGTGAAATGTTAACCAAATTCCTGAAATGTGTTTTCGTTTCGATAAGATTGCTTTAGTAGGACTTTGAACCTAACCACCACGTAGCATAATCATATATTAATTCATTTACCGCGGGATGCTGGCTTTCAAAGGGACATCTTTCCGGCCGCAGGCGAAACCGACACTTCGCAAAAAAATGACTTCTTAGGTAGCATAATTTTTTCTCGTTGACTTTCGATGCCCTTGACAATTCAATTATATTTAATGGAAAGCATGCATGAACTTATTCATTCTTTCAGTCATTCAGTCGAAAATTACGTCTTCTTTCAATTTTATACTCGAAAGAAGGGTATAACTTGGTTTTCTAAATGTTTTCCAATTCCCGAAAAATTTTCAACCTGACCTGCGGTTACGCTTGCATTCAGGAAAATCATACATTTCTTTACGGTATTAAGAGGAAACCATCGAAGGTTCATTAAATTTAGCAGTGGACTTTAGTCAGATACTAAACTTTACAAGCAACATTACCAACTACCGAGACATACTGTTTTATGGACGGACTTTTGACGGCATTAAAATATCTCATGATTAGAAACCTTTTTAAAACTGACTTTTACCCTTCCTAAGAGTATACATTTGGTACAGATGTAATTTTCTTCCGTCTGGGTAGAAGAATGAATATTTATATGTCAGCTTTCCGCGGAATATAAGTGGATTTCAAGGGTATCAAACATCACTGAGGAAGATACAATGCTACTTAGATAGTCATCTTTTGCAGAGTGTGGTTCTTGCGTGCGCCCGGAAAATTGTCCATTCGAATGTCAGCATCCCTAGGCAACGGACTATTGTGAAATTTTCTTGCCTAAGGATTAATTGTTAAAACCCGACTTACGTAATCCTTTTCGAAACGAAAACGCGTTTTAAAATTTAAGTTATCGTTTCGTGAGTAGCACACCCACAGTATGTCATTAACCGATTACTTAAGAGGATGTGCAATAAAAGTAAAACGGATCGATGCATAGACGCAAAAATTCAGCAGCGCATAACCATAATTGTGTCGGTTGATTTCACCAACCGTTCAGTCTACCGCGACTGTATTTGTCTTCATACAACGCATGACCCCTCTCATGAAATTTTGGTCGAAATCTTGACATGTGATTTCGACTAGGAAGGATTACTTGACTGGGGTTGTGATACTGATTATCATACGACACCATAATATAGTATTTCGGACTTTCCTGTATGTCAGCCTTTGAACAAACTTCTTATCGACTTCTCTCAAAAACCACGCTGGTTTAAAAATGGCTACTTAAATAGCATGCGTTTTCACATCGATTTTCGGTGGCCCTATGTATCTAAATAAATTTCCTAGAAAACATCCACAAAAGTATGTTTTCATTCGTTTGCTAGGAAATCACATTGCCTTTCATATTTTATATCCAGAGGAAGTGCATATTTAGGGTTTGAAAAAGTTCCCTATTCCCGAATAATTTTGCGCCATACCAGTCGTTGCATTAATGTTTCGCGACTGCAGTCTGCAAGGCACATATTTTCCGCGTAAAGAAAATCGTATCTCTACGTCTTTAAGAAGATCACATATAGAGTTAGCAAAATTTTGCAGTGAATGCGGATTATGTTGTACATTTCTTGAGGAGCATTGGCGAACGGACATGTGCGATGCTGTGTATATGGACATCAAACGGTTTTAAAAACCTCATCGTAAGAAACTTTTTTAAAACCGAAAGATAAACTTTCCTAGTGTATGAAATGTAAAGAAAATGTGATTTTCTACCAAATGGGTGAAGGAAAGCCTATTTTGCGCATGCTTTCTGCAAAATATCCTTGACTTCATAAGGCCACCGAAAATCTGTGTGAAAAGTGAGTGCTATTTAAGTAGTCATTTTTACAGAGTGTCGTTTCAGCAGGAGGCCGAAGAAAAATTCATTCAAAAGCCGACACCGTGGCAAGTTCGATATATTATAGGATTGTGTCTTATCATAATCATTATTACAACCCCACCTAAGTAATTCTTTCTAATCGAAAACGCATTTCAGAATTTCGGCCAAATGTTCATGAGATTGGTCACGCACTATAGTTGTATTAACAACAAGAGCGGATGTGAGGATTTATTTCATCGTTACTTACTGTTGTGCTTATCGCCCGTACGAACATTTCCATCCGTGTTTGCAGTAGCCTAGAGTACTATAATGGAGTACCGGAAGTACTGACTGCGTTGACGAAATTGCTAGAACTAGAAGAATGTTATCACAGTCGACAATACCAGTAATTATTATTGTGGCATTAGATCCAGTTGCCGAATTTGTAATAGTATTATTAGTGTCACTGGTTAACAGTTGTGAGCGAATCCCAGTGATAACCGCCGAAGTAGTTTCCGTGGTGGCCGTCTCATTGGTATCGGTACTTGTTTTGTCGGTAGTATTCATCTTATTATTTTAAGTGAAAATAGTTTACTTGTGTGAAATCAACACCGCGGATGACAACAGCGGTACATTTTTTGGTGATCATAAGGTCTGCTGCAACATACCTAACATCAGTAGTAGTGTACTTTTTAATGGTATTATCATTTGTGCAGGCGACAGGGCCCGTATTATTACTAGTAGTGATAGTAATATTAGCATCGTCAGCGGCATTAACGGCAATCGAATTATCACTATTAATAACAGTAGTAGTAGTCGTTGTTGTTATCAAATTTTGGAGCTATCGACAGTAGACACACTAGTAGAATCATTTCTTACTCGCTTACGGTTAATACTATTGGCATTACAGCCAATATTTGTTGATTGCTACTTGGAAAAAACTACACAGGTATGTGAAAACTCTGCAATATTATACTTTTTTAAGGAGAATTATTACTTGATTTTTGCATTTAGAAAAGTTCCCACAAATTTTGGGTGCTGAATCCACCGATCGACTCTACCGTAGTGATGGTGTTTTTGGTCTCTGACCACTATGGCCGGTCTCACTAAGGACAATGACTTTGGTCAACAGCGACAGCTGTTCTTCGGGGCTTTTGTTTGGACTAACTCCAACCTAATGAAGGGAATTGGCGACTGACAATACCCGATACCGTGCAACCCCTCCCTTCTTGACGGTCGACAGTTTGTGGTCAGCAGTGTTTTCCTCCTGAACCCTGCAAAACATAAAAACCACCATCAACTTTACTTTTTACCTTTTCGACCGGAGTTTTTTCGCTGCTGGCCGGATTTGTGTTTAACGCTTCTCTGACAATGCCTGTAAACTGGCATTAAATACAATTATTCTTATTATGAGTCAATGACATTGGGTAAATAAAATACGAAGTCCACAACCCGCTTTACTACTCGTAAATAGTTACATTAGTATTAAACTTCGTCCTATCCGTTTGCTATCTCCTTTCACGACACTGCGAACTACTTACTCGTTCTTTGCCTGCGGAGCTAACGCTTCCTTAGTTAGTATGGGTTTTCCATACTGTACGATGAAGGCCAGTAGTATAGCCAATCTAATGAGCTCATGCAGTTGTCTGAGACGCGAAGAATTTCTTACACTTCCTGCTCATATCAGAAATAATTGTAGACAGCTAGTTGTAAGGCAGACTGCTAACGTTTTTCAGATGCATTACTCACGTTATCCGTTCGCCCACTCAACCCTTGTCTCAGCGACAAGCGGTACTGGCACGCATTTCGTGAGCAGGTTGTCCATATCCTTCGTGCACTTCCGAGTTCTGAGTAATCTTCGTTTCCATTTGGTTTGGCTTTTGTTCTCGGTTGTTCGGTAAGCCCGTGAAGTCTTCCGCAGACATTACGCTCATTTGTCATTCGCATATCCTTCTAAAAAGAGACACTGACTGAGGTTGGTAGTGTTCTGATTCATCCCAGTCAGCTGTTTCTATGTGTAGCTGTTTCGTTTC